TATATTAACCAGTTAAGGGGTTGGTACATTGTCCGTAACATAAGTTATTAATACCTCTACTCAGCAGTCATGGTTGTACCTAAGATCTAATAAACGGATATATTAGATCTTAGGTTGTACATAACGAAATTGTAACAATCTTACAAACTTTTACCTCTTCTAAACAAATCGACAAAAGCCAACGCAATGACATGACGCTATTTTCAAATATTGATTAATGGCGGTCACCAATACTGCTTTAACTCCAAGTACTAGAGAACTCTTTTGTTCGGCTAGACCTATTTAATTGCGCTTGCTCCTCGATTCATTAGGCAGGTCGTTTATTGATCTCTGTTTTTCCACCACGGCAGGTGGGCGGGGCGGATCATCCCCGGTCCCATAACGCACAATTTATCCCGCTTTCCGCTCCAGCAGCTCCGAACAGTGCTCTCGGAGTGGCAGCTTCTTGTGCGGTTTTGGAGATTTTCTGGGCACAGCAAGCACCCTCAGCCGCGGCTCACAGATTAAGATTTAAATATTTGAATTTGCGTTTTTTTTCTGTCCTTTGAAGGGAAGCAGAAATCTTGAATTATTTATAGTGTACATATGATAAAACCAAAGTGTTATTGGTCCGCATGTGGATTTTTAAAAAAATTTGTTGTTTTTTTACTTTAATCAAGAAATATGGCACACGCAAATAGAGTGGAGCAAAAATTGAATCCTCATCTCGTTGAATTACACAACGTATTATAATACAGGCGTGCTACACGAAAAGAGCACTTGGCACTAATCAAGTTGTTAAGCAAATAATTTGGAAAACTGGAATCCGCAAGCTTGGAATGCAAACCTTGACTGAACCCAAGAAAACGAAAGAGAGAGAAAGCGTTGTTGGGATTAAGGAAAGGATTAAGGTCCATTAGTATAATGATTCACCGATTGTTATTGTGAACCGTTACTGTCGTAATTGAGACTGGTAGAGCTCTGAATATTTCTTGTTGAACGTATTCTCCACCTCCAGCAATATTTGGATTAATTCGCTATAATCCAAGGGTCAATGAAATCGTCCTAACCTCTGGGCATTTAGTCCATGTTCTGGCTGTGTTCTGTCGTGCCTCTTAAGAGCTATTTCATGCTTTCTTTCTCGGACTCCTTTAACCCTCACCATGATCTTTGCCCCATCTGTTAAATTTTATTGCCGCTTAGACAAAGATTGAACGGAAAATGACACAGATTTTCAAACCGATTACAAATTTTTATCTTGCGCCCGTGTCAGATTGAATTTGCCCTCTGTGTTAAAAGATCAGCCGATTTGACACGTTGTAAGGATATCCCCTTGATTGCAGTGCGCGTGTTGAAAGCACTCTGACAGACGGGACAAATTGCAGCACTCGCTACATGTGCTCACTGGACATGCTTTGTTAATTTTAATCAACGTCGGGGGGATCAGCTTCCAGCGTTACAGTTAATCACAAGTCTTAATTACACGCTCCGCAAAGCCAGTAATGTTTGTTTTGAATTGACGGGTGTCCCGGATTTTCGCCAATATGTTCCCCAAACTCTCTGATTCATTTTCAATATAGTTTTTGGACCACACGTTTTGTCGGCAATGTATTCACACCATCTTTAAAGTTCCTGCATAATTTTAAGATGTAAATGTTATTATTATTCAAGCTGCTGCACGGCTTTTAGAGTTCTCAGGTATTCAGGTACGTAATATAAAAAGTACAAACCTAAGACTGTAGATCTGTCAAAGATAGGGAAATTTAAGATTTACGCTCACGCATTTAAAACATTTCATAATCAACAGCAACACAAAAATAAATAAATAAATAAATAAATAAAATAAAATAAATAAATAAAAGTATATTTTGTTGTCTTACCTCATCAACTTTGGTATAAACTTACACAATCCTTAGAAAACATTCAGTAAAAGGTTTTACATTAAATTGCATACCGTCAAAACCGATCGTGAGGGTAAGAATTTCAAATTCAGTTAAAATATTGATGACATTCTATTGTATTTTTAACTGTTTGTCCGAATAAAAGTGAAACAATAGGTAGCAAACCACTCTCTTCTGTCAACGAAAAAAGTGAAAGTAGAAGAAAATTGTGAAAGTGTTGACGCTTCGAAAACGCGTGACATCATTGTTACAGGCTTGCGTCGGTTGCCAAGTCTTCCCGCTGATTAAACTACTGATTCAATTTTTTGGTAAAGCAAGAAATGGCGAACGAAAGGCTATGGGAGCGACTCTTGCTCCCCGACTTAGTGTTGTTCTAACCCTGTGTTGCTTTTATTTTCAAATTTTCCTTGCGAAAAGTCAAGTTTTTGTTTGGAGGAGCAGCGTCGCCTAAGGGAAAGACAAACGTTCGCGGGAAAACGAGACGACGTCGTGTGGTAAACCAAAATACGGGAGCGGCATGTTCTCACAAGACGGAAAAAAAAGAGAGAAAAAATGACCCAAGTCTGAGGGAGGGAAAATAAAGAGTATCACATACAAAGCAAATTGGGTCGCCATGTTTTAACAGGCAGACCACACATTAGCAGCTAGTAGTATGCAGTTAAGTGGATAATATTCAGGTATGTACAGATATTACGTCGAATCTGACGTGTTACACGTAGCGCAGGCAATGACGCGTATAAATGATTATGTACATGTAGTTTGCAGGGCTAATTTGCATATTCCATCTTTTAAAATGTTATCCAAAAATGTATTACTTATGCAATTGAAAAAGCGATTAACTGTTTTTCAATTTCACAAAAAAAAAAAAAAAAAAAAAAAAAACTTTGGTCTTCTGCAAATCTGAAATCTGTGATCATTTATTTTAAAAGAGGACCACACATATAAATAGGTTACAAGTATGCACTCAATAAAATCGTGACGTGTAATAGGTCTTAAATGTAGTGACGTAAGTGGCATTCTGGGTTTGGTCAGCGAGAGGCCACATTGGCTACGGCACTGTTGTGTCTCTGTTTGTGACAATCTTTTGATTTTGTGTATATGGTTATTCAAGTACAATATAGCACGCCATCCTATTTTAACATTATGGACCACACATAAATAGTAGTCCTAGTATATACTTAAAGGGATAAAATTGAAGAGCCCGACATTACGCAGGACGCTCTCAGAGTGATCCAAAGCGATACTACTCTAACGCGCGTAACATTTCAATGTTTACGCAAACAAACAGGTGTCACAACAGAAAGGTAATGCAATACACAAAGACACTAAGCAGTGACACTGACGACTTGTTCGTAATTATTTGTTGTACACATCTGTACCTCCTGTGCGTAAATCCGTTGAACTATTTGATAATTAGGGACTCGGTTACTACACTGTAAATGTATTAGATCGTAGGTGAAAAGGATTTTCAAACAAACGCCATCAATTTTGAAATGACCTTCCTTCCTTTTTGTCATTATGAGGGATAGTTTTCTGAAGAACCTAAATTTAGTAAGAACATCTCCAGTTGTAACTATGCTAATTATGGAAGCAGGTGCAGTTTGAAAAACACAATTACAAATAGCAGAATTATTGAATGGAGATACATGTTTAAAGAAATGCAAATGCTGGTGAATACAGAAAGAAAATAGAAATGAAAATGAAAAAAAGAAAATTAACAGTTAAGCTCATGTATTTTTTTTTATCTTTTTTCTTTACGTCCACATCACATTGAATATAACAAATCGACCCGAAAACGAATCAGGTGAGACATCGCCCAATGAGCAATTACGGCAATAAACCCGCCTCGTGGTTACAATAACAATAATTTACACGCTGCTTATCTAGTTTGTCAACTCACTCGAGTGTTTGTGTTCAGAACTAAGGTTGTATCAAAACTTTTTCTACCCAACTCTTCCGTCGGCCCTTCTCATCATATCTTGCTGGTAATATAAATTTTGCTATCGAGTTGCAGATTGTATTTACATAAGTGGAGCAAGTAGTTTAAAAGTAAATGCTATTTAGTTATAGGAGAAGCTGTTTGTTTGGTCTCTAAGGTATTTAGCACATTGCAAATTTTTGAGTCACGTCGGTGGTTCTGATCATTTTTCTTTGTCTTTTCTTTTTCAGTTTTCATTTTGCACGCAAAACAAGCTAAAAAATCTTTTTCTAGCACAAATGTCGACCTCACAGTAAAATCGATTTCGGGATTACAAAAATAAATTTGGAAACTAGACGGTAATCAATTTGCTGTCGATCGCTTCTCTAAAAATATATCAACGAAGGTTTTTCAAATTTATTTGACGTACAGAACTGTGGGTCAAAATGTTTTGAATAAATTCGTTTGTTTTGAATCGGTTCTTTTCCTCGATCTTTGTCTAGGACAGCCCAAAAGCGATGAGCACGGTAATCACGAGAGACACGAAGAGCGAGACGGAAAGACCCAACAATCGATCCTCTACCGAATGCGAGTAGTCGACTGCATAAAACTATCATCTAAGCTTATCAAAACAATTCTCTGTAGTTTTTACTCCTCCAGAACATTTTTGCAGATCCCAGTTAAGTGTAACTTTGCTTATGCTTGGCATTGTCCCGCTGTGTTTGTAGATCAACCTTCGTTTCACCGCAAGGCTCTCTTCTTACTGTAGTTCTAAAACATCGGCGGCGCACTGTAGTCGTGTTTCAAGACGTCCAGTGGAGTGGTGTTTGTTTTTCGATTTTTTCTATCAACCCGCTACCAGTTTACAACAATAATTATCCATACTGTGCAGCAGTGAGACAATATGTTGTATCAACAGTGGTTAGAAAAATAAACCCGTCTGATAAAATTTTTATTTCTCATCATTTTGCTGCGCCTCTTTGAAGAGGAGGAAAAAGAATAAATTGTAAGAAACGGCGAAAGGGTGATTAGAGACAAAACACTTTATCATAATGATTCGTTAAAACATCATTTAGATTGTAACTGACTGTTTTTTCTTCCCTCCTAAATTGTTCCATTTCATCGGTCCGTGACGCGGTAGTTGCCGTGACATATTTCACGTGCGTGACGCACTGGGACCTTCCAAGTGCGCGGCTCTCTAAATAATCGAACTGCGCCGTTATTGTTTCTCAGTTCTCAGTAACCCGTGAAACTCTCGCCCCATTTCTTTCATCCATCTGTCATAAAATTTTCCTTCAAGGTGTATGTGTGTGTGAGGGTGAGCACGATGATCGGCACAACGAGGTCCCCTAACGTGATTTCCTCCATCAAGTAAAAAGCGTGTAATTACAACAAGGGGGCGTTTACAGATCGGATTGTAGAAATTGATATGGTAATACGCCGGCGCTCCAATAACACAGCCAGAACCACGTGACCTAGGGGCTGTGTGGTTGGGTGTCTGCCATACGCGACTAGTGTAGTTTATAAAAGTAGGTGTTTCAATTGGGGAGAGGAACAATTGACAGACTGGGTGGTCGTGCTCGGATCTCACAGGGACTGGGATCATCTCCGATAAATTTTCCGAGCTAACACCTCGCTAATTACTCAGGAACAGAGGATCCAAAGCTGCAGAGCGCTCTTGGGAATCGATCCTGATCTTATCAGCGAGAATTATCACAACAGTGTGTCGATACAGCACTGTGTTCGCGTATCTATACACACGCGTACACATACATAGACACTCACACTGATAGAAAGGTGTTTCAGCGTGTGTAGTGTGCCTGGCAGATTTTCCCTAGGATCTATACAGGGGATCGAACGCTGGCGATGCGTTGCGACATGGAAATCACGGGGACTCCACACCAGAAAGCCGAAGACGCTGAAATCTTGCGTCAGAACTCGCCTAAACAACGCCTAGCACCCTCCCCACAGCAGTGTCTACAGGAAAGCATGACCACTAGTAAGGTATCACCCGGGGTCTCTGCCGGGGAATCCTACGGTGGATCTGATGGAGAGGAAGATTTTGCTCACAGTGACTATCACGATATTGACTATAAAGATTATGATGACTGTACCGACAAGGAGTTAGAAGGGATGGAGAATGATTCAGATTGTCATGCGGACGGCGCCGACGATGATGATGATGCAGACCCCAAAAACGAGTCCGCAGAGAACGGGAGAGACAAAAAGAATAATCTTGTGAAGCCGCCATATTCTTACATAGCTCTTATAACCATGGCAGTGCTTCAGTCTCCCAGGAAGAGGCTCACTCTCAGCGGAATCTGTGAGTTTATCATGAACAGGTTTCCCTATTACAGAGAACGTTTCCCTGCCTGGCAAAACAGCATCAGACACAACCTCTCTCTAAATGACTGCTTCCTTAAGATACCCCGCGAGCCGGGCAACCCTGGAAAGGGCAATTACTGGACCCTAGACCCCGCCAGCGAGGATATGTTTGACAACGGCAGTTTTCTGAGGCGAAGAAAACGCTACAAACGCATCACGCCCGATCTCATGCACCAACCCACGGCGTTCCTGCCCACCCACCATCCTTACGGCCAGGCGTTCTTGGGGATGCATTCCCACCACAACCTTCCTGCGCATCTGCACCCCCATCACCAGGGGCTCCCAGGGCCGTATGCGCACTTTATGGCACCTCTCCCTCCCCCCGTGTCTTTACTACCACCGCAAGATATCGCCCGGGCTTCAGCTCTCAGTTCCATGAGTTTAGGACTTAATAGCCCGGCGTTACAGAGTCTGCAAAATACCATTTCCGAGGGCTCGTTTCCTTTAAAAACAACCGTCTCAACAGGGACAATGTTATCCTCATCCTCATCCAACTCTTCATCAGCAACTTCTTCAAAGTCTATAGCCACGAAACCCGGGGGAGGTTTCACCATTGACAGTTTAATCGGAAACAATAAGTCTACTCCGAATAACGGCAGATCGCCGCTGGCCAGCGGTACAGCGGTCAGTGGGGGTGTTGTTTCGACAGTTTTACCGGCCTCTTCGGCCCTGTCGTCCCTGAGACCGGCCTACTACGAGCACTTCGCACGCGGGCCCGGTTCAAGCGCGTTCAGTGCCCCTCTTCCCGTTGGAATCTCAGCCATATCGGCACTTGAGCTTGAAAAATACAGACATTACATGCAATATTACAGTTCCACAGCAGGGTGGCAGCGATGAAATCTATATTCATGCATGGACTTTTAAAAAATAGGGCGACCGATAAACTTATGCCAAAGATTACCAATTCATAGATGGTATTTTTACTGTCTCATTATTATCAGCAACGTTGCTCAAAATCACGAAATGTACTGGCAGACAGGCTTGAGTGTTGATATTTGATTTTTACATAACATTTTAAACTAACTCTGAAGCATGAACAATAATGTTTGCAAAGACTTGGTAAAGTATTATACATACTGACTGTGACAGGGAAAGTTTCTGTTTAAAATAATCTGGAATAATTTTGAAGAAAATACCCGTCTGGTTCAAGTTGGCGGACGTTGCCTCATTCATACGGTAAGGAATTCATTCAGGGATATAAAAAAATAACATGATGATTTAGAATGTCCGCATAAATTGGATAATTAATGTGAAATATTTCTATCGAAAAGCTGGAATTTTTGCTTTATTATTTTTATCTCCTTTTCAATCCTAACATACAGAAAATGAAATAGATTTATTTTGAAATGTAAAATGCTGGAAACTTTTTTTATTTACTTATTTATTTAATCATTTTTATGTATTTTTTAGAATTACTTTACTCAGATTTATGGTTTGTCGGAGTAATATTTTTTTTTACAATTTTCATACTAATTTTAAATAATAGTATGCTGTTGAAAATATCTCCGAAAGAAAGCGATATTCTAAGTCATCTTATAATAATGGTTACCAATGTATTTCTAAAAAATAACTGGTAATGAATACTGAGAAAATAGATAAAATAACGCTTAACACGTATGGTGTTTAAATTTATCAAAATTCGTTTCAACACATTAACTTGTTTTTTTATTTTTTTAAATCTCATCCAATGTATATTTCTTTTATTATAAGATTTAGAATAATGGAAACGCCACTTAAAATTTTGCAGTTTATCAATATCAATCATCAATTGTCACAGTTAAGATTACGTCTTTCGAAAAATTCATTATCATTCATTTTAAAAACTTTCGATGAATCTTGTAATTGTACAAAACCCAATGAGCATATAAACGAAGAGTTTTCTAATTAGTCTCTGATATTTACGACAGGGTTGCAAATGTATGGATTATGTTTTTATTAGTTTTAGAAATAATAATATAGAAACCAGCAAGATTAATACCAAGTTTAAGTATTAAAAGGGTTTATGGCCAATAATTTGTGTATAAATACTGAGTGCAAAGGAAAAGTGTTTCAGTAATTGTGTGTCAATTGTTTTAATGTTAGCCATACCAATTTTCAAATTGTTTTAACTTATCCGTCATTGTATGTGAGATTTATGTCTAAATATATTTTGTCTATGAATATGTTACCTGAATCTAGTCTTTTCTTTATTTCATTAAGAAGATAAGTGCGCGTACATAAATAAAAACAGTGACTGGGATTCTATATCGAACGCGTTAGGTGGGCAAGCATTCCAGCAAAAAGCTGCTACTTAATCTCTAAATATTGGTCTGAATTGTTGTATCTTCTCACAGTGAAACTGTTTTCTTTATCAACTCTCCTCAGAAGCTCAGCTTTATCTGCTTTCCTCATTAGTTTTGGAAAGTAAGCGATGATAGGGTGCCCCTAAGTGTCATGTTCGTAACTCCAATAACAAATTTGTTTTGACCCCGGGGCGAGGACCGCATCACCAGAACTAGTTGCCCTACGGAGTGTGTGTTTCTCTTCAAGGGGTTTAAAGCTCTAATGTTTGCGTTAAAAGTTTTGAGGTTCCTCTTCAAACGGTGTGATTCTTTTTCCACGCGGCTGCGCCGCTGAGATCGGTGATTCACAGAAGCTCGAGTTCGCATCGAATATCCTCGTTGTTTAAAGTAAAGTTGTCCTCGTCATAAAAGCGTCAATATGAAAGCCACAAGAGACGCTTTTAACGTTCATCCGTTTATGAAATTTATGAAAAGAGTTCTACTGTTCATGATAGCCGAGGTAATCCTTGGTTTACATAGCTCACATTCCATTCGCACTCAGGCTGTGTATATTTCATAAACTAAACGATAAAAGCATAAAGTGACACATATTTCCTACTAATCTTCTTTAAATTTTTGAGGCGGAGAAGTAGGCTATGATTTAGTAATGTAATTCGCAAATACAGAAGACTTGTCTCGAAGGATTATGCCAGTACAGTTAATATTTACTTTATTGCTCAGCAAAGGACCTACACTTTCCTTTTTTTAATTTGGCTGTATATTGTGAAAAATTGATATTGTAAAGGCAATCAATAATTCAATTATATTTATTCTGTCGTTCTCATGAAATATTTGCTGCAGCAGGTTTATGCGGTTATAAGGACAAATAAGACGGAATATGTTGGTCTTTTTTTATAAAAAAATAAAACACTTTTTATGCATATATCACAAAAAAATCTTTTTAGCCTTAGAGCTAATACGGGTAATATCAAATCATACCAGATTTAATTACATCTTGCTTATTATCAATATAGGAAAATATTACATCAGAAAATATTAGCTGGTCATAGGTTGTATGGTTAAACCTTGTCTCAAAATTATTTAACACATGCTAAAAGTTAATGAGTTTACCAAACAGCTCTTCTGTTACAATTCAAAGCTTGGGTCTACGCGCACAACGTGCGAAAACCAGGTTCAAAGAGTATAAATGCAACGAAAGAAATTAGCAGAATCCAAAAATTTCATTTCTTAAAAGAAAACCAACAAACATCGATACTTTTCAAACAGCTTGACAAAATAATTTGTTTTTTGAATCGGTGCAAAATATCAGTGAGCGGAATCTCCGCATGCCGGGTCTGATATAGTCATCAGTGTTTTTTACCATCAAAAAGAACTCGGTCCTTTGAGTGAAATGGGATCCAAGTCAGTTCTAGGGCGGAAAAAATGCACTGAAATCAACTTAAGTTTCTTTAAGGATTTTTCGTCAGTTAAACTAAGTTCTTTTTTTTTCTATCGACTCCGTTAAAACAAACGTTAATCAGTCGTGTTGACGCAGTGCTCCTCGATAGTTTTATTATAAGACGTAATTGTGTACAGATCTCTCTATAATAATTGTCTTTATCGTTCTTATCGTATGAGACCGTCACATGTGCACAATAATCAAACGTAATAAAGAAAGATAAATATTTTTCAAGTCTCTTTTACGACTTGCTTTAGGACAGTCCGTGCCGTGCTGCGCTGCGGTAAAACGTCATAAAATGTCGTAAAAGATCCACTTAGGATACAACCGGGAATGCAATCAGGCTGTACATTGTTTGCAAAAGTTTGAAAATTTATTTCACCTTAAATCAATGATATTTGATAAAGTTGCTTTTCCCGTTCAACAAAAGTGGCATGGTCGTCGACGTTATGGCTTGGATCGACAACTGATAAACTCAACGAGTGGCAGAGTGTTATTGGTTGCGTGCTCAAGTGGGCCGAATCGGGAAAGGTTACCGGTAATAACGGCTCGAAGATCTGTGATTTACAATACACCATAAGGTAACATAAATCAGGTGAAGAAACAGATGGACCTTGCACTCGAGTAGGATTCGATCCAACATTTTGTTCGCTAATTTTGGTGTCATCTCCAAACAACGCCAGATTTACCGAATAAACAAGCGATGTGTCTTCACTAACGTTAGTTTTCCGCACACAAATATTTAGCCACCAGCGTGTTGTATCATCGTACGTAATTAACATCTTGGCACGTGCAGTAATGTTCCGTTCAGTTGTCTTTCATAACTTCTTCCACGCGCACATCGTAGGGCGAGCATATAGTATTTTGCGCAGTGATATTTTAATGGCCACTCAATAATGAAGGAACTCGCGGATTATTTGTCGAAAATTATTGTCTGAAACTCATGAAATAGAAAATCACGCTTAATGTTCAAGACCTGTAAGTAAGTTTAAGATAATTAATTTGATATATCCGGAAAACCATTTACAACAAGTACTTGATAATAAAATCTCAATAACGGACAAGTCTTAAGCGGGAGCTCATGTTCTTCATCAAACGATCCACAAACTTTCTTATCATGTGTAGACATTCCACACATAAAATTCAAGAAACAATTTCGAGTTGACATTCCGCCCGATAAACCTTACAAAGTTGACACTCGACAAGTAACATCAAAGTGCAAGCGCTCTTTAAGGTATGCGAAAGTACGCAAGCCACTTCACATTAAGAAAACCGTTAATTGGATACTATCTTAATTAAGAATAACAAAGGCAATTATGATAACCACCCTCTTGAAAACTATTGCGGCCGGTGTGTGAATCGGAAGTTGGACGGTCGGAACAAAGTAGCCACTATCTTGCCAGGCGGTTTTTAAAAATTATTTAGTAGCTCCGATAAAAAATAATTTGGGTTTCTTAACCCTGTTTCTCACCTGGAATCTTCGACAATGAAAAAAAAGATGAACCCATAATTGCTATTGGATAATAAGTACTTTAATTATAATAATACATTCGATTTGCCAAAACATTTCTATTTTCCCACCAGATCATGTCTTAATTAATTTCACATTTTGTCTTGTACCTATTGTATTGATTTCAAATAGCCAACATGTTTAGAACATAGTCCGGGTGTGCTTGTGTGAGGATGCCGCTGCGTAGAACGTCTCCTTCTACATCTAGATGACATCAGAAAACGGTCGTGGGTCAAAACTAAAATAAAATAAAGTCAGTATTTCCTGAAGAAACCCCCCGTATGAAAAATTACACATGATAGCTACCGCAAACATACCCGACGCTGTCTTTATTTGTATTAGTTCACACACTGGGTGTTGAAAGTTTACCGACTCCATTAATACATTAGATGGAAAGATGGAAGTTGTTAGGACTGATGGACCGTTGCATCTCTCCTCTCGCGGTTTGTTTTTACGATTTCATGTGGCAGTTCTAAAATTACTCACAACTGCTGAAAATCTTGGCTCATGTTTCGCCGCTTTTCCTGCGCTGATGCATTCTACATATTGTCTCTTGGTCGTCGTCTGCTTCCAGTGCCTTGTTTTTCGCGCCTTCGGGAACATGGTAAGAAGTTTACCACAAGTGTTCGATCATTTGAGGAATTTACGGCACCTTGTAACGGGTGTTGATTTAGCGAAGTCTATCATTGATCATATCATCGATGCTGATTAAAACATGTAATAGGCGCAGTAATAAACTAACTTCACACCGGTTCTCACTTCGGCTAAATTTGAACTTGTCAGATGAAATCTGGAGCAGCCATATTTGAAGATTTGGACAACTTGTGATGCATGTTAGTCTTTTATAGGAAATCTTGGTCATTATTCAGCAATAGCTTGCTGTGTATTCGTCATGACTAAGATGTTCTATTATGCGATCGTTCTTGATTGTCTATCCCTCCCTGATGTTTACAATAAATAAATAAATAATAAACAAACAAACAAATAAAGAAATTTGGCAAATTGTATTCAACATTCATTTGCATGATTCATTTCAAAGGGCTTAAAGTGAACTTTCTTGTAGATTGCAGACAGTTTTTATTTGTT